CGACCAAACGTAACTCAGGGTTTTGTCTGGTTCAAAAGATATCCCACAAGCCACAAACTACCTCTTGTGGACTTCATCTTCTCCCCCTTTTCGCATTTCTGGGGACATCGCAAAGTTCAAAGAATTCAACAAACACAGGATGCCGCATGCCATTCGAATGGTTCGAGTAATATTGGAAACACAATCAAGAGGATGTGAGATGGTACGTGATGGCAGACGATGATAGTCCTCACTCACCAGGTAACCTAACTTTCATTTCATCTTCTCTTTAGTTGCTAATGAATCCCAAACAAACACAGAGATATTGAGGGGGTTTTGCTTTTGAATTTTGGCTCACAATTCAAATGTATGTTAATCTTGGTTACTTCTTCTTGATCGGATATACATTAATTACTTTCAGAGAGAGATAGGTTGCTATGTGAGTAATTAGTTTGAAATTGGATAAGTGGGTTGTTGCTTCTAATTGTATATAGATTGATCTTCAAAGGGTATATCAGGTTTCTTATCAGCTCATTATCAAGTGAGTCTCTGTCTCTCTATCTAACACATAGGAAACCAAAGGGAATGTTGTGACATAGCTCATCCTGCACTTGAAATAAATATTACGGAAATTAGATTTAGGGATTGCATTAAGGATGAAGCAGTGGCGTGATTGTAATTCTAATCGATTTGTACACACAAAACTTGAAAACCAGATGGGCATTTTGGTTATTGTAATGCAACAGAAGCTAAAATAGATTCAAGCTGCATGATCAAAGACGTAATGCTTGGGGAAGAAAAAATGAAAAGAATGGAATATCTGGAATTTTTCTCCGGTCGCCGGTGTCAACAGTTTCCGGTGAGGCGGTGATGGCTGTTGGCCGTCATCGGTTGGAGAGGGAGAGAGTGAGAGTGAAAAGGGTGGGCTCAGTTCGGTGTGGCGAGAGAGTAAGTGAGAGGAATCTGGCGAGAGAGAAGTGAAAGGATTGAGGAGATCCACCTCACACATTTCAAACATGTGCATGTTTTAAGAACACGTGGTGCGTCTTCATACTGCACGAATGGTGCACGCATGGAATCTGCCCTGATGGAAGCCAGACTCACACTTAACTTGGTAAGTGCATTTTAACCATAAAAATCTATTATTAAAAGGGATATTTTTATCCCATCCAAGTGTTGGAAACTTTTCCACAGGTGGTAAAGTTATTTACTCACCTATGAGACAGGAAAATAAATTTTTCCTAATCCCCACACAATTTTAAAAAAAGAACACGGGTTTCTTGGTCAATGAGATCAATTTTCCTCCCTCTCAAAATCCAATAAAAGAACACCCCGTTATTGGTATGCATGGATGCTTATGAAGAGAATAGGCACCACGAAAGGGGCTATAAGAGAAGACCAAAGACCATGCTTGTCCCATTAAAATCCAAGTTTGATGGTGTTGAGAAGATGATGAACAGTAACTTCTACTTGTATTCTCAATTCAATGCGTGGATTTTAAGAAAGGAAAATTTTGTGAGAAAACAATTACTTTTTGTCCCACTCACTATTTTTACAATATATTTCAAAACATATCCAACTTTATAAATTTATAAAACTTCATTTTTTTAAAAAGCCCTATGTATATAATATACATGTATAAAATAAATTTATTTACATATAAATTCATAATACATCTTATATGTCATTTAATATAAAATATTATATGTATGCAATATGTTATTTATAAAATACAAAACCTCAATCAACCCAGATATTCCTTATTTCCTTACATCACACCCTATTTCAATATAGGGTTGTCAATCGACCAATTTTTGATTGGATCCAATCCAATCCAAACCTTATCAAATCAGATTTGGACGGTCTATTATAATTATTGGATTGGATCAATCCAAAATAAAATGGTCCATATTATTATTGGTCCAAATTTGACCTAAACCAAATTTTCAATAATCCGGTCATGAGGCCAAACCCTTGTCCAATTTGAAACCGGACACTGTTATGAAAGTGCTTTTACGGAAACACTTTTACAAAAGCATTTTTGTATAAGTAATTTATGAAAAGTACTTCTACAAAAATACTTTTACGAAAGCACTTTTACAAAAGTACTTTTATAAAAGCACTTTTACAAAAGCAATTTTATAAAAGCACTTTTATGAAAGCACTACTTTAATAGAAGCACTTTTACAATAGTACTTTTACGAAAGAACATTTATAAAAGTACTTTTAAACAAAAGTGATGAAGGATTATTTGACCCGACCTATGAAACGGTGACACGTGGACGCTGACTTAGCGTAAGCGACAGCTCAGCATTGTGGTCCAGTACGGCTAACTGATAGGCCCATAAAGCAGCTCGCTACATGGTAGCGGGGTAAAGGAGGGGATCGCCACAATGCGAGCTCCGGGTCCCCCAAGCTACCTCAAGGGATATTCCGAGGCAAACTTTAACTTGCGAGCTAAGAAAGCCAGCTCGCCCGAGCTCCCGAACAAGGCAAGTCATCCGATGACCAATTCCACTACAGGTACTTCTGAAGTATTCGAAGCTCGTTGCAAGGTAGCTCGCGAATGGGCCACACAAGCATTCCTCAGGAAGCTTCTATTTAATAAGTCGTACCACTCAGACTGGGCCACGTCTCTCAGTAGGCGGAGGCATGCCTGTCACTTTGGGGACATGTCACTCGCCCGAGTAAGGAGTACGTCCCAACGGCCACCTACACAACCCTGGCAGGTAACGGCTGTGGCAGGGACCCAGTGGCGGTTATGCCCGATCTCGCAAGAGCGCTCCTATAAAAGCCCTCAGGGCAGAGGAGAAATTTCTTCTAGAGACCTCTAACCTCTCGAATATAGTGATAAAGCGCGGCCTCCACTCTTAGCTTTCGTTTCTCTCTTTACTCTCATACACAGTACTAACTTAAGCATCGGAGTATTCTCACCGGGCAAATCCCTGGGAATCCTTCCTTTCATCTTCTTAGGTGCCGCTCGTTGCCAACAATGAGCCAGTCAGCCGCCAGCTAGGAGTTCCCAGATCGAACTGGGTTTATAAGGTCTTAAAATCAAACTGGGTTTATAATTTTAGACCCAAAACTGAACCAATCGGTTCTTGGGTCCACTTGGTCAGACCCCATAAAATGCTAATAAGGGTTGACTTGGGCTACTATTTTGTGTTTAACGCACACACTGAAAAGTGGACTTTGGTCCAAAGTATAAATAAACATGAATGTGGGCCAAAAGCTTGTTAACATGAGCAAGGGAACCAAAATATAAGTAAGATTTAAATGGACATTGTGAGGATTTTCAAGGCACACCGGGGCCATGGCTCCCCTCTACCACCCTTGTGCATGAATCCTGTTTTGTCACTCCGTTCTACTTAATGTCATGTCCATTGTATTATGAACACTTAAATCATTTTTTATTATTTTAACCTATGTCCTTTGCGGTTTATCCCGGCCTAACTCTTTTAACTCCTTCAACTCACAACAATGAAATACACGTTCAATCAGAATTTTTAACGGAATATCTATTCCTTTATGGAACATAATATCAAACTACCATACAAAAACCTGTTTTTATATCTCCATTATCATATCAAGAAAAAGAAAAACCTAGATAACCGTGAGTGTGTTTCAAATCAAATGTGTAGCTCAATTTTCTGGAATTCATAACCCCTAATAGGATTTTAAATATTTTGATTGATTTCAATTTTTGAAATGAGAAATTGAAATCAACCAAGTTTATGCACACGCCATTAGTATTAGGATTTAGAACCTAAATAAATGGCAACATTTGGAAATGGTAAAAATTTACGGAAGGAAAAGTGCAGTTATGATAACTAAGACTACTATATCATATATATCATATGAGACCACTAAGGGGGTGTTAACCAAAGTGAATGCTTTTATTTTTTCAAATAAAAAAAACTTCCATATCAGCAAAGTTATTTCTAAATATATGGTTTTAAATATTAATATGATATGGTCAATTAAGGCTTATACATTTCGTTTCTTGAGTTGATGGGATATATTCTGATTGATACAGTAGATATGTATTTAAATATAATTTTATATTAAAAGAAATATTTTTAAATTTATGCATATTAATTTATAATAATAGGTCTATGTGTCTTTTATAAGGATGAGCAAATGGTTAGGTTTTACCTGGAACCGTTGAACGGTCCAACCGTTCAAACTGAACAAATGGCCTGTTCTGACAAAATATTAAAAAAATAAAAAACTATTAAAAACCGTTGAACGGTTCGACTGTTCAAGTCAGTGGTTTACTGACCAAATCAATGATTTTTTGCCAAAAGACAGTTTTGGGGTAAAACAGAACTGGTCAAATGATCATTCCCAGTTTTTTTGGTCCAACCATCCAATTCGGTCCGGTTTTGAAAACCATATCACAGTATATACTGACTCAAAGGGTTTAGTGGATTTTTTGTCTCGCAATAGGGGGCTTGTGAATGGATAGAGCATCTCTACGGGCATCATATTACTAAACTGCTACAATGTTTTAGTTCTACTTTCTTTTGTTCATGTAAATAGGCATACTAATCGAGCTGCACATACTCTAGCCTATGTACCTTGTAGAATAGGTCTACCAACTATCATGTACAGATTGATCATCAATGAAGCTGCTTCTTTTTTTGGGCCTAGGCCCAGACTATTATAGGTGAAAAGCCTTGCTTGGGCCTAGGCCCAAACAATGATCACCCGTTCTTCAAGTTAAGACCTTGTTTCAGCATTATCAAACGCCACAGCAGCCTCTAACTCAGTCACCAAGAAAAGAAAATAGGGTCTTAATTAAAAGGGAAAATTCCTGATAACCTGTACTTTAGGCCGAGTGTCAATTTAGTATATGTACTTTAAATTGCGACAATCTAGTACCCGAACTTTCAATTTGTGATAATTTGGTACCCTGTGTTAAATTTTTGTCAATTAGAAGATCAAAAAGTCCTAAATACCCCCCGCTATTTTAATTACCGATTAAAATTATGAAAATAACCCATCATCTACTTCGATCGATGCAAGTGGGAACCACTATTCATACTTACATTTATAGAGAATCTGAAAACCAACTCCTTCACGCCGGTGGTGTCAAGCGAATGCGCCGCCGGAGAAGACGACTTGTTGTCGGCGCCGAAGAGACAACCAAGGCCAACTGGGTAAAAAAGTTATTCCTCCTCCTCCAACTCCCTCTGTTTCGCTTTTAACAGTAACCACCGCTGCAACTTCGGGCAACAGCGATTTCTCCACCCGCCCGCACTCCCTCTCTTTCTTCTTTCCGCTTCTCCTTTCTTCTTCTTCTTCTTCTTCTTCTTCTTCTTCTTCTTCTTGGAAAGCCCCCCTAACTAGTCGTTTCTTCCCTACAAATGAATAGACGTGACGGCGGTGCTTCATCACCACTGCAACTCGTCATAGTAGTGTAGGGACCTGAAATTGGTTTTGGCTCCTGTTGCCTCCATTGTCACCTCCAACGCTGCTATTGTGAGTAAATGGGTCTACAAAATCCACCACTTCCACAGTGCCCGGCGCGACCAACTCGTCGTCGGCCTCGGCGTTCAGTGGCCCCTAGATGACCCATTGATAACACTACATTTTGATGCCTTAAGGGCATCAATTCAGGGGTATTTTCGGCCTTAGAATAGTCAAGATGTGTCATTTTCCCAGTTAAATGCAATGTTGTGGCTTATGAGGGTCTTTGTGCAAATTCTAGAGAAAATTGGGAAGTTTTCATGGCTAAAATGCAAATTTTGGAAAGCTTGTGTGAAGTCCAACTGAGAGAGGGGGTGTTTTTGTGAAAAACTGAAAGCAGGAGGGTGCCTCCTACCTACTAAACCCAGTTTGGCGCCCCTCCTACTGTATTAGCATGCTCTCCATGCCTTAACAAACCCTAGGGCGCCTTTTAACCCATTCTTTTCACTCTTAACAAATCCTAGCCACCCCTAACTGCTAAATCCTCACATTCCATCCCTTCTAATCTCCACCATCCATTCTAGGGCACTCTCTTTATAGCATTCTAACCCTAGGAGCCACCTAACTTCTAATATTCACTATTCACCCTTTAGCCATTAAATCTCAGTCTTACATAATATTGGGTGCCTTCTCCTTTTCTTCTTAGCCTTAGGATCACTATAGAACCATCCTAACCCATCATTCTAAACCCTAGGGCACCCATATTTTTTCTAAAACCCAGCTGCCACCCCCCTCTTTCTTTCTAATTCCAGTTTTATCCTCCATTTTCTATAAAAATGACCCCAGGGGCCCTATAGAAAGGGTTGGTCAATTCACCTATTTAACAAGGCTAAGGTTTCTTGAGGAGTTCAAGGGTTGTAGAAGGGGAGGACGCCCAGATATTGTCATGAGGGGTTCCTGCAAACTGTTCAACCATTATGCAACTACTGCCACTGGATCTGATCAAACATTCTTTTCTTTTCTTTATTTTCTCTTCTGTTATTTTTATTTCTACAATCATTTAGATTTAATTCTTATTTGTTTCTCTATTTTGCATATCTGAATAGGTTCGGTTCAAGGCTAAGGTGTCTTGAGGGGTTCAAGGGTTATAGAAAAGACAGATGCCTGATTCTTGTCATGAGGGGTTTCTGCAAGCTGTCTGGCCGATCTGCAGCTACCACCATCGGATCCAGATTCTGGATCGTTTTTTTTATTTATTTCTTTTATTTCCTTTGTTGATTCCTATATTAAATTCTGATTTTTATTTATTGTCTTGTTTAAATTCAAAACATTTAATTTCAACAATAATAGATTTTATTTTCGTATTTTCTGTCATTCCCGATTGCATTCTCTTGTCTGTATCTCAGTATATATTAATTTTTCACTTGCTTCCCTGTGGATACGACCCGTTCTCACCCATTTACTATGTTAGTAGTTTGAGAAACGATAAAAATTATAAATGTTTAAACTGGTGTTTCTAAGTGTTTAACGACGTGCTTCCAGACACACCACCCATCACAAGCATATACATTGCAGCTCTGCGTCAGTCGACACTGTTTAGTCCTCCATCTCTTCCACGCCCGGTATGTCCCTCGAATCCTCCGTCGGTTCCTCTCCGACCGTCGAAATACCTTTGTTGGTATCTGGAACTATAGTGATGAAGCCAAGCTGAGGGAGTCGAAGCACAACCTGTTTGTTTCTCATCTTGTAGACGTTCAACATGTTGCAGCAGCAAGAATGGATTTGAGTTTGCAAGCTTCCATGGAGGCCTTGGTGGAAGCAATTCTTGGCAGAGAGGGCGTCACTAAGCCTAGAGAAATTGCAATGTCCCTTGAATCCTTCATCGGTTCCTCTCTGATCGTCGAAATACCTTTGTTGGTATCTAGAACTACAGTGTTGAAGCCAAGCTGAGAGAGCCGAAGCACAACCTGTCTGTTTCTCATCTTGTGGACGTTCAGCGTGTTGTAGTAGCGAGAATGGATGAGTTTGCAAGCTTCCATAGAGGCCTTAGCGGAAGCAATACTTGTCTCGGAGGGTGTCACTAAGCCTAGAGAAATTGCAACGACTGATTGGAGTCATGGCTTTCTTTCTCAAGAACTGGTGCTCTATGCTTGTGTTAATGCAATCGTTTCATCAGAAATCACTAAGCCTAGAATTGGGTAGGTTGTCTCTTCGGCGCCGGCAACAAGTTGTCTTCTCTGATAGCGCTTGACACCACCAGCCTAAAGTACATGGTACCAATTAGGAATTTTTCCTAATTAAAAAATTTAAGAATCATATACTTTCAGCCTTTGGTTATTACCAGCAAGTCGGATTGTCTGAGCCCGGGTTCAAACCGGGGACCTCTAGTGTGTGAGACTAGCGTGATAACCAACTACACCACCCAGACGTTCTTGACCAAGTTAAAATGTTAAGACATAATTGAATTATTTGCATTTCCTACGCCATTGTTAAAAAATGGCTAAGTAATTCGATAAATGAACCCGTTAATAAAGAATTCGTCAAATGCTCTGTTTATCTTCTTTTATTACTCCATATATTACTTTTTTCTCTTACTTATTTTGAAGCTGAATTCAGACAAAAGCTCCCCAGCTTTGTTTTCGGGAATGAATTTACCTGTTCTGACTTGTGTCCTCATTACCCGAACCAACTATGTAACCATATATTAGTACATGACAAAGATATTCCAAGACATTTTTTACATGTTTTTTATAATTTGTCAAAGTAATGTAAGTAGGACTGTTAATGGGTCGGATCTACCTGGTTGATTCAAATTGATCAAACTGATTATAATGATTTTATCTCAATTAATAATTAGATTGATTATGATTTTTGCTTGTTCCAAATCGTTTCAGACTCAAAATTGATTATTTTATTAAATATATAATATTTTTTTATAAAAAATATAAATTAATTTGATAGAAAATAAATAAGATAATATTAGTTAAAAATGTTTAATTTATTAATATATAAATATTTAGTATTTTTCTGTTAGTTTTATTAAGATTATATTATCAAAATTTAAAAATTATTTTAAGTATATGATTTTCTCGATTAATAATGGGTTCATAGCTGGTAGACCTTAACCTAGACTCGACCCGTCAGCCCTAAATGTAAGACGTCTAAACTAATAGGATCTTATTTTTTAAGTCTGATAAATCAGACCCCAAAAGAAAAAAAAAAAATATATATATATATATATATATATATATATATATATATATTTGATAGGCTTGAAAATGACAAAAAAGTAATATTTGTGTTATGGACACACCGCTCGGCAGCATACTGCGACACAGTCATAGGCAGCGGCACGCACAGTAGTACGCACCGCCCGGCAGCGCGCAGCACGCACCGCCCAGCAGTGTGCGGCATGGCAGCAGCACGCACCACATGACAGCAGCACTGGGCAGTAGCACGCACCGCACGGCAGCAGCACTGTGAGGCGCGCGCCGCCCGGCAGCAGCAGTAGGGCAAGACCCACACGACAGCTCATCAAGGTGGGTCCACACTTATCTTACCACATCAGCTCTGCTCGCCAACTCGCCGCCAGCTACTCCATTCCTCGTCCCTTATCCTTATCTTATCTTATCTTATCTTAAGTAAGAGTTGTGTTACCATTAGGAGTAGGTAATTAGGAGTTTGAGTTTAAGTTGGATTACCCTAGCCTAGCCAAATCCAACAAGGAGTTTCCTTCTGTAATCTCCTATTTAGGGAGCTATGAATTGAAGTACAGGCATTCAGTTTTCAACCAAGAAAGGTGTTAGGAAAGTTCGGGTTATCTCGTGGACAAATCACCCACGCGATTGCCACAATAGGTCTGTACGCAAGGGCAAGGGCAAGAGAAGACAGGAGTCTCTCCCAGTGGACCGACCCGTGACGAGATCCTACGCGCGGGCCCACAACATTCTGGTATCAGAGCCTACCATCATGGGGGAACAAGAGCCGCTGTCTTCCAAGGTCCACGAACTGGAACACAAACTTGCAGAGGCCAGCATGGAGGTTCGTGAGGTCAAGGATGATGTCCGGGAGCTTCGACGCTTGCTGGAGACATTCTTAGCTAATAGGGAAAGGAACTCAGAAGGAACCGCCACCAACAACAGCCGCAGGCCGAACTGGGCAGAAACGTCCCGCGAACATCAAATGGCTACCCCGACTGCCGCTGTTATCCCCAAATACAGTCGGCTAGAATTTCCGTCCTACAACGGCACTAGAGACCCACTGGGATGGTTGTACCGCTGCGAACAGTTCTTCTGCAACCAACGCACCGATGACAGAGACAAGGTCAATCTGGCCGCTTTCCACCTCACATAAGAGGCACAGCTCTGGTTCTACCGTCTAGAGCAGGAAGAACCTGGGCTTAGTTGGGAACAATTTAAATCCTATTGCCTCCTCCGGTTTGGACCCCCGCTGACAAGTAACCCGCTGGGCGAACTAATCAACCTCAAGCAAACCGGGACTGTGGCGGATTATCAGCGCTAGTTCCAAACCCTTCTCGCCAGAGCAGCCTCGGTACGCCCAGACCAACAAGTCGACATGTTCACAGCAAGGCTAGTGGAACCCCTAAGAGTCGACGTCGAGATGCAGCACCCCCCTAATCTAGTCATAGCTATGAACCTCGCACGTGCCTTTAAAAGAAAGATACAGATCTCCCACGGGGGCTTCAGTATAGGATGGCCGACATCAACATGGACGCCTTCAAAGGCAGTAGGGGTGACTTCCTCTTCGATCGCCAGCAGAGAACTAAGGCTGCCTGCGGGCAACCCTCCAGATTAGCGTCAAGCATAGGAAGCAACAGGTTTGCACCCCCCATTAGGCGGCTGACCCGAACCGAGATGGCAGAACGGCGCGCAAGGGGGCAGTGCTTCAACTGCGATGACCTGTACTCTACCGGCCACAAGTGTAAGAAGTTGTTCTGTCTCCTAGTAGAAGAACCCGAAGAGGAAGAGGATGAACTTGCTACATCAGAACCATAAATCTCCCTCCATGCCATTACGGGGGTCAAGACCTCCCAAACCATGCAACTGAGAGCATTGATAACAGAGTGGCCAATCCGTATTCTGGTAGACTCGGGTAGCACCCACAATTTCATCAGCGAACAGGCAGCTCGCAAGTTAGAACTGCCCATGGAAAGAAGGCCACAATTACAGGTGGCCATGGCAAACGGGGAAAGAGTTCACAGCCCCAGAATTTGCAAGGACATCAAAATTCAGGTCAGAACAGAGTCCTTCCAAGCAGATTTATTCGTACTATCCTTGGACGAATTTGACATCACCTAGGTGTCAAATGGCTGATCACGCTTGGACCAATCCTATGGGACTTCGCCGCCCTGACCATGACCTTCCACTTGGATGGCAAACCAGTCACATGGCAAGGAACCAAAATAAGAACAAGGGCACAGCTACATACACTCCAAGGTGGGGACTCACACGCAACAAATATGGAAAGGCTCCTTACGGACTTCTCTACAGTATTCAAGGAGCCCAAGGGGCTTCCCCCTCCCAAAGCTTGCGACCACCGAATCCCTCTGATAACCGGATCAGATTCCGTTGTTGTCAGGACCTACCGCTACCCACATCGACAGAAAGATGAAATAGAAAAGCAATGCGCAGACATGTTACAGCAAGGGATCATCCGCCCCAGCCGCTCCCCCTTCTCCTCCCCAGTTCTTTTGGTGCCCAAGCAAGACGGGACTTGGAGATTCTGTGTGGATTACAGAGAGCTTAACAGTCGGACGGTCAATGATAAGTTTCCCATCCCAGTCGTAGATGAGCTGTTAGACAAACTCCAGGGAGCGCAATACTTCTCCAAGCTAGACCCCCGATCAGGATACTTCCAAGTCCGAATGACCCCAGAAGATGTAGAGAAAACGGCCTTCAGAACACACCATGGCCACTTCGAGTTCCTAGTCATGCCCTTCGGTCTTAGCAACGCGCCTCCACATTCCAGGCCCTGATGAACGAGGTGTTTCACTCCCATCTCCGCAGATTTGTCTTGGTATTTTTCGACGACATCCTAGTCTATAGCAAATCGTGGGTAAAGCACGTGCAGCATCTGCGAATTGTTCTTGAACTCCTGCAACAACATCAGCTCTTCCTTAAACGATCAAAATGCGCCTTTGGGGAATGCAAGGTCCTTTACTTAGGACATGTGATTAGCGGTCAAGGGGTCACTGTGGATGACTCCAAGATTCAGACCATCAAAGAATGGCCCAGACCGCAATCCGCCAAGGCCCTCCACGGTTTCCTAGGGCTGACCGGCTACTACCGAAAGTTCGTTCACAATTACGGACTGTTGGCAGCCCCGCTAACAAGTCTACTCAAGAAAAACGCCTTCCTCTGGGACGGTGCAGCTGAAGCAGCCTTTGTAAAATTAAGAGAAGCCCTCTCCTCCACACCAGTTTTACAGTTGCCAAACTTTGATCTTGAGTTCACAGTGGAGTGTGACGCATCTGACACCGGCATAGACGCAATACTACAGCAACAAGGGCACCCAATCGCCTTTTTCAGCCGCAAGCTGGCCGACCGCCACCTTAAGTTGCCCGCCTACGAACGAGAACTTATTGGCCTAGCTAAGGCAATGCAGCACTGGAGGCCGTACCTGTGGGGAAGATCTTTCATAGTCAAGACAGACCATTACAGCCTCAAATATCTGTTGGAACAACGGTTCACCACCTTGCCACAGTAGCATTGGGTCAGCAAACTCCTCGGATTCGACTTCCGGGTAGACTACAAGGCTGGGGCCTTGAACCGTGCTACAGATGCCTTGTCCCACCAAGAAGATCACATGCTACTCCATGCAATCTCATAGCCCCGAGCCTCGCTGCTGAAAGACATTTGGAATGAACTTCCACAGTCACCCGAATGGAACAATCTGCTCAAGAAAATACAGGTGGGAACGGCCAACTCCAA